CTATATAAATAAAATTGAATTGAATTGAATGACGGTATTAATGGTAGACCATGGGAAGTTCAAGTACATCCAAGCCAAACATCTCAAAAAAGGTATTTTTCTGTGTGGTTTGGAAAAGTCTCCTGTCCATCCCAGAAGCAGCATTATATATAGTTCCTTGAAATGTGTGATGTTGATGTAAGCCTAACTGTAAAGCCTTTCATACAGTGTTTGAATCAAAGTCAAACAGATGGAGCCTTTAGTCAGAAACTGAAGTGAAAGTCAGACCATGTCTCTTGAAGATGGGTGTTTTGCATACCATTGATGACTGGAATTTGTAACATTACTTCCCTCTCTTTTGGAACTTTTATTTTTATTTTTTGCCATAATACCATGAATGTAACATTTTCAGTCCTGAACACTCCGAGCAGTTTTAAAACAGATCACAATGATTGCGATTTTTGAGCCTCAGTGATGGCTTTAATATATGTTGGCTGTTGGTAAGATACAGTAATTAAAAAAGACTATGCACAAACTGAGGAAATACTTGTTATACACATGAGCAGTAACTCTCATCATAATGGAAATAACCTTTTATATCAATTTGATTAGTATGATTAATAAATCTTAATAAAAATCCTTTATAGGTTGGAGCTTTGTGGCTGACGCGTGTTCCAGGATCCCAAAAATAGTTTCCACTGACGTCACGTTTTTGCAATTTTATTTTGAAACGAAGGCGATAACAAAAACGAACACAAATAAAATATATACTTTCTAAACTTTCACGTATCTCAATATAAAGTTACAAACGAGCACGTCACGGGCATAACACGAGCGCAACACGGGGTAACACGGTCAGAAAACCGTGACGCACCAACCTTCCTCCTGCCGTGCTAATTTCACATAGGCTCCTTACTGGGCACCTGGCGCATAATTACAACGTCATTAAAGGCGCATTAAATCACGTAAATATTTTAAATTCACATTTTTAACTAGTAAACATTTTTAACTTAAATTATTAATGTCACTCATTAATTTAAATGAAATACCAAATTCTCATCAACAAATAAATTCAAAATACACATAAATATACATAAATGGGCATACTATGGCGCCTACACTCCGGGAGCTTTGTCTGTGAGAGCCCAGCGCTGATTTACTTTGCTTGTGACCAATAAGTGTCATATTTGTACTCTTGATCTACTCTGGTTTATTCTCCGGCTTCCAACTAAAGAACCAAATCTAACAGTAGAAACCTGCCTTCATAGAAAACCACAGCTTTCTAAAGAAAAGTGTAGCTAGAAGCTCAGAATGGTTCACAGAAGTATTGCACTTGAAGCTCTGGGTGCGCTTGTCAATGCACAAGTGACTTCGGAAGAACCAAAATCGGAAACCGCTTCTAATAGATCGGACTGATCCGATCCGACTGCTGAAGGATCACGGTCGTTGCAGCTGTTGATCGAAAATTTCATCTCCTCGATCTTGGATCCCGCCGATACCAGGTAATTGTTTGTTGTCCCATGTGCTTAGATAAGACCTGCACAAGTTAAATGAGCAGGTATGGAGGGTGGAATATCTGTCCTGTTTTGAGATAGTTTATCATGTCTTATTTTCTAAGGCTGACATCAAGAGATACACCAAATTGTTATGAGATCAATGAAGAGGAATTCTTTGATCAGAAATACGACCACGATTTCACCAAACTCAGAGACACAGAAACCTAC